TTAATCTGGGCCCTGGCTGTCGTCTCGCCTTTTGCACGCGCTGTTGTCGTCTCGCCTCTTTTGCACGCTGCACCGGCTGTCAGCAAACCGGCTGTCAGCAGACTTGCAGAATGAATCAGCCCGGCTCCACCGGACTCGCACAAAAAATCTGTCAACGCAGGTTGCATCTCATTGGATTACCTCTAAAACTTTACGAAACTACACCAAACCATCTCATTGGATTACTTCTAAAACTTTACCAAAATACACCAAAACTTTGCAATTGACGTCGTATTTGTCCCTTGCCTAGCTTGTACAGTACTAATAGAACTAGTAGAACTAGTAGTACTAGTAGTACTAGTAGTACTAGTAGTACTAGTAGTACTAGTAGTACTAGTAGTACTAGTAGTACTAGCAGTACTAGTAGTGCTAGTAGTACTAGTAGTACTAGTATAGTAATAGTAGTACTAGTAGTACTAGTGTCGTAGTAGTAGCAGTGGTAGTAGTAGTAGTAGAAGTAGTAGTAGTAGTAGTGGTAGTAGTAGTAGTAGTAGCAGTAGGGGTAGCGATAGTCGTAGCAGTAGCAGTAGTAATAGTAGTACTAGCAGTAGCAGAAGTAGCGTAGTAGTAGTAGTAGTAGTAGTAGTAGTAGTAGTAGTAGTAGTAGTAGTAGTAGTAGTAGTAGTAGTAGTAGTAGTAGTAGTACTAGTAGTAGTAGTAACTAGTTACAGTCGTAGTAGCAGTAGCAGTAGCAGCAGTGGCAGTAGTAGCAGTGGCAGTAGTGCTGGTTTGGGTGGCAGCAGTGGCAGTAGTAGCAGTAACAGTAGTGCTGGTTTGGGTGGCTTGGCTGCCTCATACGGCGGGGGGTGTTGGCAATCCCTTGAACCCCAACAGCAGCGGACTGTGTCACTGTCGGCATCAACCCAAAAAAATCCATGTCAATTATGAGTGAATTGCTGGCGCTGCAATGAGTCAATTGGTGGCACTGCAACCACCCTCAAGGTTCGGAGCTTTGAATCATCCGGAGTCTTGAACCAAAGCAACACGACTTATTGAAGATGCTGGCTTTACCACCTCGAACATAGAACCCAAAGCTTATGCGCGTTCCTGCAACTGAGCTGTCCTGCACACTTCGAAGAGATCGGTCCTTGGGGCAAGCATCGAACAGGCGGATGCAAGTGCTGGCAGTGAAGGCGTTTGCAAGCAGCATGGTGCGAGCCATCTGTTCGTGGGTATCCGCAGATACTTGATCCGCGACCTCAGAAGGTGGGGAGCTCTCAGCACGCACAACCGGCAAACCCGAAGGACCTACACCCGAAGGAGGTTGGGGTTCCCGTGGATCGGCATCCACCGGGACAGACTTAGGGTCAACCATATTATCAGAACTAAAACCGAAAGTAGGCACGGCCACTCCAGTGCCACGGCCTACCTGATTGTCAGCTCGCGATGCCATACAAGCATCCGGGCTCTCGGCATCGACATTTGTCTTCAAGAATTGGCTGAAGCTGCGCTTCATAGCCAACCTCGCACGAAGGAATTCTTTGTCGGCACAATTTCCGACCTGAACATGCATGCTCGAAGGGCCAGCCGCCCCCGAGCCAGAAGTCCGCTCAACGGACCCGGTCAATGCATCAGCATCCTTGCCAACCCCAACAACGGGTATTCCATTGCAAGGGGCGGAGGCTTGCTCAAGGTGAAAACTATCTGAATCTTGCCCCCCTAGTCACTCGGTTTTCAAGGTCCTGCAATTTACAACCGAATGACCTGGCTTATGGCATGCCGCGCACACATGGAGGCCCTTGTCACACTTCTGGAAGCCTGACTTCGGATCCTTCTCAGTCTTATTCGAGCAGCCATCGGGAAGATTGAAACCCCAGCACGCGTTGCCAAACTTGGTCCTGGTATCATACGGTGCTAAGGCTGCCGGCTTGTTCTTCGGACCCCCTCGCGACTTCGCCTTAGCCTTAGCTTTCTCAGTCGCGATGCGTGGCACCTTAGGCGGTACCTGTGGCTTGTCATCCTCCGCTACCTTCGTCGGCGCAACTTTCACAACCTGTGACTTCTGCATGGGAAGCAAGAACTCAGTGATGCGCTGATCGAAGGCTAAACGTGACATCACGGCATCAAGAGGCGGCACACCTGAAGGCCCTGGCTTGAAGGATTGAAGGCCCTCCTGTGACATGAGCAGGAACATCTCCTTATCTGCTCTGACACACTGAGTCAACGTAACGGGGGCGAAGTTCGGTGGAGGGACCTGTGACAGGCAGTCCAAAAGCTTTTGACTCCACTTCTGATGAACATTGTAAGAAAGCATCTTGCACTGATCATAAGCCAGACCCCTTCGCATCCAGCCACTGACATCGCAAAGAGTCCGAAGTATCGCACTCCACGGAAACACTCGGACCTCCTACCTTGACGGTGTTGTTCTCGACTTGGAGTGTGCTTGGTTTCTCCTTGAAACCTGCAATGACCTCTTGCTCGCGCTTCGGGCATTTAGAAGGTGCAAGCCAATAGATCACTGCATTCTCCATCTGATGATTGCAAGCATCAATCAGCTGATACGACGGGTCAAGTTCCCCATCCATGTCTATGCCTCCCAGCCTAGCCTGCTGGGACTCCTTGCGTGCGCGCTTCTCTGGCAGCGGAAGCTTTCTCATCGGTGCACCGTCTGATGAATCATGCGACACCATGTCCCTATAAGTCTGAATCACCAAGGTTGAGGCCTCGCTGCTAACTTCACAAGGATGACGCACTTGCCCTCGTTGACTTTGAGGCGGTGTTTGCGTACCTCCTCCAGCAAGGCTGCTATAAGTGCATGGATGGCTTTAAGGTCCTTCTCTGATCGTATGGTCCTGTGGAGTGTTAAGTCGTCAGCGTATCCAGTCAAGAACTTCAGGACTTGTTCAGCACCAAACAGGTTCACAAGGGAGCGAAAGAGGTCCCCCGTGAGGAACGAAATAGGGTTGGGGCAAGCTTACATCCTTGTTTAATGCCAGCCGTGGTTTCGATAGAGGTGGAGTCACCCTGAGCATGCAAGACATATCGGGAACCGTCATGTAGTGCTTGCACGAGGTGGACTGTGTCCTGATCGGCTCCCTCTGATACATACGTACACATGCAAATACATATGCTCATACACATACGCATACGCATACACAGACACATACACAAACACATCACATACACCCACACATACACATACATGCATTCCTGCATACATACATTACATTGCCTTACATAAAAACATACATACATACGTACATATGTACATACATGCACGTTACATATACACTAGTTCATATGTACATGTATATGTAAATGTACATATAAACACGCATCGATACACGCACCAATACCTACCCCTATGCGCACGCGTACAGTACACATGTACTTGTGCATATATATATATATATATATATATATATTTGTATATAAGCAGGTATGCATGTATGTATGCATGCATGTACGTATGTATATACATATATACATACATATAGATATATACATATACATGTGTATATATATATATATATATATATTGAGAGAGTATTCACAAAGAGAAAATTTAAGTTCATGCCCTTGATCTATCGATCATGTGGCCCTTTTCGCGTGCTTCGGGCTTATCTTATTCGGAGTTTACGGTTTGCATTCTAGCGTCCTCAATTTGTCAAAACTGATTGTGTTTTGGGGTTGGTCTTGAGATTGGGATTTACAACTTATTAAGCAACTCGTTAGTCGTAGAGCTGGGAGCTTAAAGCTGCGGGTGTTGAGGCTATTTGTGTTTGGGCCCTGCGTCCTGTGAGCTTGCCTTCACGTTTTGGAGGCATCCCGAGCCTAAAGTACCTGTAGCGCCCAAGAATAAGCACTATGTGTGGACGGTAGAGCCAAGAGTAGCCTCACTAACATAGAGTCTTGCGGTACAGCTGCCCTCCACACTATCACTATAGGTGAGACTACAGATTACAGATCGTTTGTCTGCCCTGTGCTCCATCCGGTCTGTTTCCGAGATACACCAACCAAGTACTCGATGCTCCTGTCCAACACGGGTTCCGTTGTCCATGTTGCTCGTTGGTATCTCTGCTACAGTTGTCTAGCTCCCTGTGCTTGCGTCTTTGCATCAGGCTTGCAAGCAGTTAGGGTTTCTAGCTGTTTGCACACACTCTGACTGGCTACATGGCATGGATAGAGATAGGTCTAGCTCTCCTTGCAAACCCATATGCCCAAAATTCTGATTACAAACCTTGAACCCTAAGAAACCAACCATGCCGGCTCCGAGTGGCGCTCGCTTCCGCGGCCGGCACTCCGCGAGCCTTGAAGCATCGTTGAATCGATAACATAGGGCGTAAGGTTTCTAGGCTGTAACAAAGTAAGGAGGCCTTCAGAATTGGAATGATGTATAATGTATACAGTGGCTATCACGGGATATCACGATTTAACATTGAGGCTTTCATATTCGGGCATCGGGCTTAGGATTTCGGATGTAGGATTCGGGGTAAGTTTCACGAGGTGTTGTTGCGATCGGCTCTGCACACGCTCTCTCACGTTGCTGGCTGGCTCTGGAGATTGGGATGCCGCTAAGGCCGAGCCCAAACAGGACCCTAGTAAGCAGTATGTAGGCGATCATGAGACAAAGCCCTGCTTTTACTTCTAGAAAACTCTGCCTAAATGGCATGGGTCGAATATTTTGAGAAACAACCATGCCATTTCGGAGTCCCGGTCCGTGGCTTGCTGGCTCCAGGTGCTGCGGGGGCAAGCCAGCGATGATTCTGCGACGAAGACGATTTTCTCAAAACAGTTACACTCACCGAACCGGAAGCCCTGCAACCATCAACTCGAAGTTGCAGGCCTTCTATGGACCTAAACTCCGGACTCCAGGCCATATGACGCCTCCACGAAACTGCTTACACGAAGACCCCAAGACATCTCATGGCATTCTGTGCTGCATCTGGAAGCTTATCGTCAAAACTCTAAACCTTCCACGAAAAAGTACAACTCAATATGGGACCCTGAGGGGCCCAAAATTAGAGAGCACCGCATTCAACTGCAGGCGAAGAAGCAGCTTGCCGATCGGCCGAACTGGCACAGAAGCCCTGTCTCACCAGGCAGCGCAGCATCTTCATGATCTTCTCCGCCTTTCAGGGACCGACTTAACACAAGCCTCAACACATGAAACCTTTAAGGGTTTGGGGGTTGGGGGGTTCGAGTCTTCGATTGAAATGCTCGGTGTTGGGTTTAGGATGCTGGGATCGGGGTTGGGCATTCAGGGATGGGGTGTTGCTTCCTTTGAAAACCTTAAGCATAGGCGCAAACTCAGATAGACACTGTGAGGCATGGACGTTTAGAGTCTGACATGTCTATACAGCCCAGCCCGTCAAGACAAGACCGCTAATTGTTCGTGCTCCTTCGGGGAGATTTCGAGACAAGGACTCGGACGTGCATGGTCTTCCCCACATAGTGGGACAGGCTTTCGAGGTTGTGTCTATACCTGAACCCTATAGCCTAGCCCTGCATCCTAAGCCCGCAGCCATAAACCTCATGGATTAAGGTTTATAGGGGTGGAGTTGTTTTGGGGCCAACGGGTGTAGGAGAGCCCAATGCCTCAAACAAACCCAGGACCGGCCCTCACCGAAGCAAACGACGACCTCTTTAGATGCGACAGCTGATGCGCTCCCTGTGCAAACCTCATAGGTCCAATGAATGCCTTCGAAGCCTTCTATGGACCTTACAAAGCCCAGGCTTCTCGACAAAAAACTATATGCACATATATGCCCTTAACATCCCTAAACTATATGTAGCTCTGAAGCCGTTCCAATATGATATAAACATCTTGTATGAATGTTGTAGCAACACATCAATCTACAGAGCAATCAAACAAGCCAGCAGTCAGTCAGTCAGTCAGTCAGTCAATCAGTCAATCAGTCTACCAGTCTATCAGTCAATCAAACAATCAATCAATCAGTCAAACAGTCAATCAGTCAATCAGTCGAAGAGTCGAACAGTCAATCAGTCAGTAACTCAGTCACTCACTCAATCAATCAGTCAATGAGTCAGTCAGGCGATCTATCTAGCCATGTTGGACAAATGATGACGATCAGCAGAAATTATAGTAGCAGCTGAAGTGTAGTCATCACGGTAACAGTTGGACTAGCAGCAGCAGTAGCAATATGAGCGTTGCGAGGCTGCAGTAGTCGCAACGTGAAAATGTTTAATGTGGGACAGGCTTCGGGGCATGATTTGTCTGGTATAGTATAGGTCTGCTTCAAACAAGGATTTCATCAGGTCATGTAGCAGTGTAAACATCCCAGGTGGGTCCAGTGCAGCGTGAAACTTGTCGTTTTTTTCCGTGTGCTGATGAGTAGGTGTGGTCATGACATCGCTAAGCCGCAGACAAGGACCATTGCGTACGAAGAACATTTGCACAGATTGTTGCTGTAGGATGCAAAGCACTACTTCAAATAAACACGTAAGGATATGCAAACAGCCATGACACGCACACCATTATGGCATGTTGTAACATGTGTAACGCAAGTCACTGTGCACTAAAGCTTGCGTGAATCTGCACGTCGAAGCAATAGTTATGCAGAGGGTGGCAGCACAGCGTTTATGCCGCTGATGCAGACATATAAACCCGTGCACATCCGCATCGGCAGTGACATGCTGTTTGCTTGCACAAGGCTTTTTGCAGTTGTGTTGCTTCACACCTTTCACTTCGGATTGCTTGCTTCTTGTATGACGCACTCTGTATCAAAGAGGGCATGTCCGGGCCTGGCCTGGTGTTCTGATACAAGACTTTACAGCAACCGTGAGCAATCGATAGATAGATCGACAGACAGGCACATTGACAGATAGAGAGATAGACAGACAGATAGACAGATAAATAGAAAAATAGATAAATCAGACGGCAAGATAGATAGATCGGTAGAACGACAGATGGAAAGAACGACAGATAAAAACAGGCAGGAGGCGGCAGGTAGGAGCGCAGGTCTAGGTAGGTGGTAGGTCTGTGGGTCGGTGGGCCGGTCGGTCAGTAGGTAGGTAGGTCGGTAGGCGAGTAACTAGGTGGGTAGGTAGGTAGGCAGGTGGGTAGATAGGTAGACAGAGATAGGTAGCAGAGGTACGTACGTACGAATGTAAGTACGTACGCAGGTACGCATGTATGTCCGTATGACAACAATTGGGAAGCTGAAAACACTACTTTGCTCCGGCCTCCTTCATAGGATCACGTGACCTGCATGGCACTGGACATCTAGAGCTTGGTATTCCTTTCGTATTTGAATGCCCCACAGCTTGGGGCATAAAGGGCTGAGCGTTTCACATCGGCATTGAAGGTTTGAGGGCCTGAGGGTTATATTATGGCTGTAGGGTTTAGAGTCAAGGGATGTCAAGGTTTAGGCTCTACTTGTTTAGGTTTTGAGCTTGAGGGTTTATTGGGCTAATTGCAGGGCGTAGATGACAGGGTGGCATCGAGCCAAAGCAAGTGAAGTGTTTGCGGCCGCGGCTCCAACTATACACGTTGTACCTTGTCGGAAGCCTAAAGACATAAAGAAACTCCACTTTAGCGCTTCAAAGCTTCATATAGGGGCGGCAATGGGTGGAATAGGGTATAGGATATCTTAGGCTAGAACTTACAACTATACGAATGATTCTGACCTAGCGCTCCGGAAACCCTTCGCAGCGCATCCTAGTAGGGCAAACCCTGACGGGCCCGCTTCGCAAATGTCGAAGCCAGAGCATACCCTGCCTCTCCAAGTGCTGCATCCACCTTCCCATGACCTGCGGCGGCGTGAAGATTCAGGCTGCAGGCTTATAGGGTTTCGGGTTTTAAGCTTTCATGGCAATTATAGGGTTCAGGATTTTAAGGCTTAAGGTTTCAAGAATAAGGGTTTGAAGCCAAGGGTTTTCCAGCGTCCAGGGACTGGGGTTTTGTGTGTGTGTGTGTGTGTGTAGAATGTTGTCGCGGCCGTGCTGACACGACGCCACGCTATCCGCCTGGATCATTCTCTTTCACGACTTGTTTCCTCGGCGGACAGTTGCAAGTAACAGTCAGACTTCACGCTCGCGGCTCAGGAGGTATTTGTCCGGTCTTCACGGTCTTTACTGATACTAGAGTTACAAGGCTTTAGGATCCGTTACAGCGATGCTTCACGGACATCCCGAGTGAATTCACTTCATCTTTTATGTGAGCTGCCCATGAGCCAACCAGATATACCTAAGCCCAGCAGCCTTGCAACCAGCCCGAAAAGCAAAGGTGCTGAATTCACCCCCCAAGCCCTATGACCTATCATACAACTCAAACCGGTTAAATGTATCACGAACATCCTACACTACACCAAACACTGAAACTTAACCCCCCGACTGGGATTTACCAAAAGCAAGAACACGCATTCTCCGGACAACGGCCTCGTGTGGGGTTCACACTTCAAGGAGGGTCGTTCTGTGGATCCAAACAAGGTCAAGCCGGGAACCCAAAAACCAAACCGTTCTTTAGGCATCAGGGAGAGCAATGATCCAGAGCAGCTTTCGCGGACGCTCGGCAACAGACCTCCCCACCCGTCCCCATCCGCAGCAGCGCCCTCCCGCGAACGCTCTCCCAAGCATCACCGTCGACGGCCGCGTCCTCCCCCGAACGCTCGGCACCGAGAGCTCCCACCCATCACCGTCCGGCCGCGTCCTCCCACGAACGCTCGGCACCCAATCCTCGATCCAAACTTGGCGCCAACACCTCCCAACAACGACTTTACCCCAATCTTGGCGGACAGGTTGCTTCAAACTTGGCGCCAACACCTCCCAACAACGACTTTACCCCAATCCTGGCTGACAGGTTTGGTTGATTCAAAACTTGGTGCCAACACCTCCCAACAACGATTTTACCCCGCTCCTGGCAACCAGGTTGGTTCAATCTTGGCGCCAACACCTCCCCACAACGGCTTTACCCCAATCCTGGCTGACAGGTTTGGTTGATTCAAATCTTGGTGCCAACACCTCCCAACAACGATTTTACCCCGCTCCTGGCAACCAGGTTGGTTCAATCTTGGCGCCAACACCTCCCCACAACGACTTTACCCCAATCCTGAATCACAGGTTTGGCTGCTTCAAACTTGGCTCCAACACCTCCAACAACGACTTAACCCCAATTTCGGCTGACAGGTTTAGCTGCTTCAAACTTGGCGCCAACACCTCCCAACAACGACAACTTAACCCCAATCCTGACTGACAGGTTTGGTTGCTTCAAACTTGGCGCCAACACCTCCCAACAACGACTTTACCCAATCCTGGCTGACACGTGGTTGCTTCAAAACTTGGCGCCAACACCTCCCAACAACGACTTTGCCTCAAACCTGGCTGACAGGTTTGATTACTTCAAAACTTGGCGCCAATACCTCCCAACAACGACTTTACTGACACGTGGTTGCTTTAAACTTGGTGCCAACACCTCCCAACAACGACTTTGCCCCAACCCTGACTCACAGGTTTGGCTGCTTCAAACTTGGCGTCAACACCTCCCAACAACGACTTTACCCCAGTCCTGGCTGACAGCTTGGTCCAAACTTGGCGCAAACACCTCCCAACAAGGACTTAACCCAATCCTGGCTGACAGGTTTGGTTGCTTCAAACTTGGCGCCAACACCTCCCCACAACCAATCCTGGCTGACAGGTTTGGTTGCTTCAAACTTGGCGCCAACACCTCCCAACAACGACTTTACCCCAATCCTGGCTGACAGGCTTGGCTGCTTCAAACTTGGCGCCCACACCTCCCAACAACAACTTTACCCCAATCCTGGCTGACAGGTTTGGTTGCTTCAAATTTGGCGCCGACTTTGACCCAACCCTGGCTGACAGGTTTGGTTGCTTCAAACTTGGTGCCAACACCTTCCAACAACGACTTTACACCAATCCTGGCTGACAGGTTTGGTTGCTTCAAAACTTGGCGCCCACACCTCCCGACAACGACTTTACCCCAGTCCTGGCTGACAGGCTTGGTTGCTTCAAACTTGGCGCCAACACCTTCACACAACGACTCTACCCCAATCCTGACTGACAGGTTTGGTTTCTTCAAACTTGGCGCCAACACCTCCCAACAACGACTTTACCCCAATCCTGGTTGCCAGGCTTGGTTGCTTCAATCTTGGCGCCAACACCTCCCAACAACGACTTTATCACAATCCTTGCTGTGCCGAGTGTTCGCGGGAGGTTGCGGCGTGGACGGGGACGGGTGGGGAGCTCTGGGTGCCGAGCGGCCGCGTCCTCCCGCGAACGCTCGGCACCGAGAGCTCCCCAGCCCGTCAACACGATGCCGTGGACGCGTCCTCTTCGCTAAACGGCTGTTCTTGTAAACGCTGACCCGCGGGAAGGAAAGACGAAACAAGAACCCAACCCCCCAGGTTTTTGTTGGGAAAAATCGGGGTCTGAGCCTATTCAGAGACTAAGAACGGGCTCTTGGCGTGACTTCTTCGGGGCTTCGTAGGAGGACGAAAGATAAACCTCGGTGGCTCATAAAGAGGATCAAACGTCACTGCTTCGATTGTCTGTTTAAGTCAGTTATTCTTCGACAGCAGCACTTTCGTCCTATCGTGTAAGGCGCAGGGCCTGCAGATCCCAAGTCCCAGATCAGCTTAATTTTTGCGGGCTTGCAATCTATATATAGGCTTTAGATTTGCTTCAAACGGTCTTGTGAGGTTTGTTGGGGTTTGTAAGATTGCTGGAAAGCGAAGAGCCTTGTGCCAACATCGACTCAGGGGTATGTGACAGCCTCACCGTCGTTGCAGGTGTCCAACGACGCGACCACCTCCTTTGCCTGACTGCTCACACCCTGATTTGGGGGTTAGGGTGTTGAGCTCTCCGAGACTCCCAGGCCCCAGAAACCGTGGGCCATGGGCAGGGGTTTATCGGGTGGCGTTTCAACGGAACAGGAAAGTGGGTAAGGTTCATGATGGGCATGACCAAAATCATCCGACTTGACTGCAGGATTAAGGGCCTCAATAAACGAACTACTCACCCTAAACCCTAAACCCTAACTACTCTCAGCCTTGAACCGAGGATTCAAGAGGTTAGAGATTTACAGGGAGGGTCTTGATGGACATGTTTGGTAACGACCTGAGACGGGATATTTGTAGAGACTGTCTATGTGTTGGAGGCTTAACGTTTAGGGCAACCGCACCGTGACACCCAATAGTAGTTGTGTTTCAGGGCTTTGGGTGTTGGGCTTTAGGGTTAAGTGCTTCTGGTTTGAAAGCTTAGGGTCTTGTCGTTTTTTCTGTCCCGTATTGCAGCCCAGTCGATGTCGACAGGAGGTTGGAAGAGACCTGTTGTCATTGGTTTTACTGTTAAGGGTTAAGGATATAGGGGTTCAGGGGTGTAGCGTTTAGGGCTTTATTTATCCCGATGTCTGCATCCCACCTTCTTGATACTTCGGCTTGCTTTTTCAAAACTGACTCGCCGGCCGAGTAATGGAAAGCTCAGCAGATGTAGGTGGGGAAGGTACGCGTGGGAAAATTTGTAACAGCAGGTCCTGTAGAGTTTGTAAAATGACTATGCAGTAATGCACGCGCCGACCCTGTTCCAATAATTAAAGGCCCGTGCCCGATGCTGGCGAGGGTGACTTAGTAGTGATTTGCACGGTTTAGGCGTGCAGAGCAACATGGTAGCCAAGCTCAAGAGCTCCTCGGAGTAGGGGATAGTTTAGGGCTTCGGAGTGAAGGAGTTTAGGCTTCGAGGTCCACCGGTGGCTTCGGGACACGGCGACAAGGCAGATAGCAACAAAAGGTGGACTCCTACGACGGAGGCCTGCCGAAGCCCCTCTGGCTCCCGGCGCACGGCGTCCTGGTCAAGCTTCAGAGATTACGGCTGCTTGAGGGGTTTAAGGATTCGAACCCTAACGTAATGCAATGTTGTACGAACCAAATAAGACAAAGCGCTAACAAAACATGAACAGAAAACTACCTAATTTAATGTACTGCAACATAATGAGAGAAGCGCAAGCGGAACGTAAGCATGCTCTCATTATCTGCAAATTCGTCTTTTGACACAGCGGTTTCTTGTCGCACACTTCTTGCTTACACTGCGTTTCATGAAAAGTTGATCGAGAATCGAGAGCGAAACTCTTGTGTTTCGTTTCCATGAACTAAACATAACGTAAAGAAGAGAAGGCATGGTTCGTTTTTGTTGACAAAGAGCACAGACACGTGCTTTATTTCTCTTCACACCGTCGCTGCTCAGTATTCCGTTCACCTTCCATTCCATGGTGCTTCCATTTAAATAAATACTTCATTCCATTGCAACGTGACGTTGAACGTCGTGAGTGGAATGACCTGCAGAAAGTTCAAATTTTTGAACGAACACAGCGAAGAGAAGCACGCTTTATTTAATGACCACGAGACTCCTTCCCATGGAATCTTCTCCTAGTTGCTATAAGCGACATAAACCAAACTGAAGAGCGGCAAGGAATGCACACGCCTTCGATTGACTTATTGCTTCTCTGGTTCGTTCTTCCTCTGTTGCGTTTTGATTCTGATGGTTCCTGTCCGCTCATTCTCCACTCGTCATTCGACTGTTCCTCTTTTGCCAAATTAGGTTCACATGTCGTTCTTCTCGTCTTAGAAAAACCATGCATCCACACGGCTCGTTTGTGCTTGTCTAAATGACAACAGCACGAACTTATTCACATCATAGTAGGTTACAACTAATTACACCCATCGTCGGTTGACACTGTGGTTACGTTCGTTGTTGTTTCGGGTCTTTGGTCTTTTGGTGCTTCATTCATCCCTTCGTGCTTGCATTCCGTTACATCAGGTCAAGGGACAAAGGAACCAAACACCACACTGGCATTTGTCTCTAGTTGGTAACGGTTGACCCAAATGAATGCGGCGTTTTCTGCATCGTTTCGTTCCGCTTGTTTCATTTAATAAGACATAGCATGCTTTCACTTTGTTCCATTATCTCTCCCCCAGCAAAATAAGGAAGCGGAACGGAAACATGAGATTGGTGCTTGTGTTCAGGTTGTGTCTGGTTCGTTTCACTCATGGCATGCTGAGTTTAAGCCCGCATGCATCGAAGAGGCTGACAGGAGCCGCACTGCTGTTCTTGTCTCCTGGATGATAGGGCAGATCCTTCGATCATCAGAGTGTTGGTATGAAAGGATTGGCCTCAAGACTGTTGTTCGTTTTTGCCTACTAGTACGTGTGCTTGTTTCTGTCGCTGCTATGCGCGTATAAGCAATATCGTTTCTAAGTGGTCAACAGCGCAAGTTTGAACAACAAGTGGCGCAGCAGAAACCTGCATGTATCCAGACAGACAGCCCAAGACGTTGTCGCCATCAGGCATGCGCAGCTCGGCATACCGTTCGTCGTGGTGCGGAGGGAGGGGGAGGAGGAGGAGGAGGAGGAATGAAAGGGATGAAGACTAGACTGCAATCATCGACAGAATAGGTCCGTATGCAGGCCACTCAGGACGAGGTTTCCCGCCTGCGCCCGTTCGGGCGTCAAGGGCGCATCTGGAGGTGTGGTTGAGAGCCTTGTGCATGGGCCGTAAGTTTAGGGCGTAAAGGAGTTCAGAGCTGAAGGCAAGGGTTGTTTATACTTGGGTTCTCTTATGAGCACGACTGTTTTAGTGGCTTGTTTGATATCAGGAATATCAGGTTTGTGCATTACATATGTCCGGAAAGGAGAAACCCAGATTACCTGCAATAAACGGAGCCCTCACATTCATTCGTGGATGAGTCTTTTACATTCACTTGACACCAGCTAAACCCGAAAGCCTACTGCCGGACCAAGAACCTTGCCGTTCACGGCAGATGCTTTAGACCATCCATCACCGTCGGCCCAAAAACCATGCGGACGTGCAAACCCTTAACACACCCCCTGTGACCGACTTAATCTCTCAACCCAGTTTCAACTCCAAACCCCGACGGACCAAACCGGCAGCCTCCCGCAAGGCCAGTCTGCAAGACGTGGGCGCGTGGGATTGGGCCGGTTATCGGTGGATTTGTTTAAAGTACAACCGATGTCCACAATTTGGTGCCGCTACGCATTGAGGTGTCTTTTTTGTCAATTAAATTAAATCACGAAGCATTGACTCAGACTCAATCGTTTGACGGGCAGCACTACCCGCCCCAAAACCACACCGTGCTTTGGGCATGTGGGGAACAGCAATAATCCAGAGCAGAGCTTTCTGACTTTTTTCGCGGTCCACTCGGCACCCCAGAGCTCCCCACCCAGCCGTCCCAGTCCCAAGCTCCCCACTTATCCCCGTCCATGGCCGTTTCCTCCCACGAACGGTCCCCGTCCAAACGGCATCCTCCAGCGAACTCTCGCTCCCACCCGTCCCGTCCACGGCCGTCACTAGACCCGTCCACGTCCAAGGCCGCGTCCTCCCGCGAAATCAAATGCAATCTGTCTTAAACCATGGCTGTCTCCCGACCCCAAATGCAGAACCCAAAGACGCGTTGAACACGAGATGCCTGGCCCCACTTTGGAGCTAGCAATGCCCCGAAATTTAAACCCCAAACCCCATAACATCCTATGGAACCATAGTGTGCCTGCGACCTAAAGAGCAGCCTCGACCCGAGCGGCCGAGGCAGCACAATCTACATGTTCTATGTTGCATTTCGAGTTGGTATAAGCCCTGCAGAAATGCGCGTGACGGCAGTGCCTTTTGCTGCGAAAAGCCTGGGTATGCAACCTCACATCACTGCAGTAAACCCTAAAGCCTAAAATATGGGGCGCCTAAAGAACTGCCAATACTGTCTTGCGGTTCCTTATTCTAATTCCAACTATCGTTGTATCAGGAACCCCAGAAAAATTAGTACTGTAGTATAGTAGTAAACGATACCCCATTAATTGAGACAACGGGCAGCGTCGTCTGAATCGGTGGAGGAGGTGGAGGCCTGGCTGCAGCGATCGGCGGGCCTGGTCAACAGGGCTTTGGGGCTTTGGGGGTTGGGATTAGGGTTCGGGTTTAGGGTGCGGTGTAGGGTTTATAGGGGTTTGGAGGTTGGGATATTGCATGGTTTGGGGCTTGAGTTCTTCAGTTAGGCTTTTGGGATGCAGCGTTTTTGGGGACTAGGCATTTCGGGGATCAGGACGCGTCGGGCTTGGATTCTAGTGTTTGGGTTTGGGGTCAAGGGGCAAGGAGGCTGTGAGGACTTTGGAGCTACAGCTCGGGCTGTTTCGTGTCGGGCTGAAGCCCAAGGCTCCCTCTGGGCTTACATCGAAACCTTGTCGGCACAAACCGCGGTACGCCCCGAAAGCCCGGAGACGAGAGGCCCAAGCAGTCACTCCTTCAAAACGCAGGCTGGCGGTAAGCCCCGGCCTAGTGCCACCGGAGACCTCTCTAAATGTAGCTAAAAAGCTTGAACAAGTCTGAAATGCACTAAGTCTAAACCCCGACAGCCTTACAGTCCAGCCGTTGAAGAATACTCGACGAAATGCCGGCCTTGCTGACCGTCAAATCGCAGCCATGTCGTGCCCCACAGGTAGAGACATCCTAAACCCTAAACAATCATCCTAAACCCTAACCTCTAATAAGGCTCCATGTACCCATATAGTATATACTTAGGCCTTTAAGTTCCTAAACAGGCACCCCGTTAACGCCTAAGTATGTACTGCATGCGTACATGGAGCCCTAGAAGCCCATTAGACCCATAACACAAAACCTAAAACTTACTTTCAATCCCCCAAACCCTAAACTCGAACCCCCCACCCCCATAAACCCTTAACCCCGGAAGTCTCCCTAAGCCCCAAGCCCTGTGCCCAGCTTAAGCCCTAAGCCCTGAACTCTCTGAACCCTTAAACCCTCGAGCCCTAAACAAGAAACTCTCACAACTGTTCTGGGCCTCGCCCCTCAGTATCGGCCTGCGGCGTCGCTGCGGCCTCGCCCAGCAAAAGATAGTTAATGTTTGTAAGGTTTATAGAGTTTGGGGGTTTTGGGTTAGCGCTCTAGGGTTTCAGAAACAGAGTCCTGACAGCCTCCTTGACCCTTGACCCCAAACCCAAACACCTAAATCCAAGCCCGACGCGTCCTGATCCCCAGAAGGGGATGCCGTGGACGCGTTGTTTGTTCTTTACGGGTTCAAGGTTTAAGGGGTGTTAGGGTTTAAGGTTTAATTTATAGAGTTTGGGGGTTAGGATTTTAGGCTTCGGGTGCAGGGAAGGTTTAAGGCTTTGGGCTTTGGGTCTATACGGGCTTATGAAAGCTCAATTTCAAGGGTGCTGACAGGGCTGTAAGCGGTTGTTGAATGAAAGGTTTGTATGTTGCTTCGAAAATATTGTCCGGACTTTAGGTGGCTTTACAAGTGTGTCGGAAGGGCATGAAAGGGCGTTACAGGGTTGTAAATAGGTTCTAGACAGGTTCAAGCAGCGTGCCCTGGAGAGTTTGAACCCCTGAAATTTAATTTGTAATCCTATAAACCGCCCGTAAGCTTTGGAAGCGGTAGAAACGTTGAACCATCAAATTAAACCCACAACCTGAATCTGCTCTGCCTCCGATATCGTACGGCAGGCCTGGGCAGCCAGAAGTGCTCCCTTCACGCGGGCGGCGATCTGTCCTGTTTAAGGTTTAAGGCCCGGGCTCTAGCGGGGGGGGGGGGGGTGGCCGGCTTAAACAGGATATAGTCGCCAGCTGAAACCGTGGGTTTTTCATTGCATACTAGAGACGTGTATATCACTATTGTACTGGACCGACGTATCTCTGTACGTACTCAATACAAGTATAGAATCTTTCGTCTCGCCTCATCGACATTGGTGGGGCTGTGTTGAACTTTCAATGTGATCGACTTGTCGCAAAGCCGACGGACTGGAGCACGAAGGTCGCATCTTGACTACCAGGAAACGGAAATGTAGTTGCGTGAAGGTTACACGCATAGCGCGATTCATCAAGGAACCGAACATACATAGTTCTGTATACACTCAAGGCAAGTGTATAACGTCTTCCTTCGTGATATCATCATTGACTGGACTTTCCTGAACTTTCAATGCGATCGACTTCGACCTGTCATAAATCAGCGGCTCAGACCACGGAGGTGGAATCATAGCTACCAAGAAACATAAATATAGTTGCGTCATGGCTACACGCACAACATGAGGCAAGAAGAAGTCAAATGTAGATAAGACCCGGTTCCGAGTATCGACTTCGATACAGATCCATACTCTTTCAAACGTGGGTTCGGAATCTGTCGTTCGGTCGTCTGGACTTTCCTGATTCTACCTGTGAATCACTTTACATAAGACTAGGGGATTTGTTCAATAGGATATTCCCGCGAATAACACAGTAATGAGCAGTACGCCACGTCCATCGAACGCCTACAATGCAAATTGGGAGTCTTTGTTTCAGCTCCCTGTGTATCGGATCTGTCTTGTACTCGTTTCAGCTTCTAGGTCTCTATCGGAACTGTCTTGTACTCATAATCGGAAACACTGCGGCATCAACAATCGGACCTCACAGTGCTGACCAGGCCTTGGGAGCAGTCTCGCAGGGGATTGCCTGCCAGCTGCACAGCAGACCATTCTTATTCGGTGTAACGTCAGCATAAGATCATGGAACGTGGCAGTGCTGACTTACCGACAGATGGCAGACATACAAGTTCACGAACAACTGAAAGTCACAGCGGCATTCTAACGACTTTTCGTTCATGACACATGCATAAGGATAGATGCGCTTTCCACATCAGCCAATACTCTGCGACCTCCGTCCGGGACGGATGACGGGATTCATCACCCGAAGCCGGAACGGAGTGCGTCGCACGGCCTTTGCCTTAGGCAAGACCGGCATACGTTTCTTCGGAGGTTTCCGACTAGAAGCCGAGGTGCCTGCAGTAGCCGCCTTCTGCGACTGCTTCGCAGATCGCACTGACGCGGCTTGCTTGACGACACTTAAGCCCGCCTTCTGTGGAGTCTTCCCTCGGACACGGAGGCTCTTACACCATTTAGTCCATTCCTTGTAAGGAATAATGGTTCGCATGTTGCCGTGAATGGCTCTGGGAACAAGCTCACCTTGGGCGACTTGCCTTTGCAAAGGTCTATACAAGGCTTGGTTGTGCAGCAACAACTTCAAGAAATGAAAGAAGCGAAGTTTCAAGAGGAAGGTCGCCTTGTGTATCATGGCCTGCAGCAAGGGTTGCTTAGGGGCGGGTTGCATCGACATGATTGCTATGCTCAAGCCTACTGCAATCAAGTCGCAGTTTCCCGAAACCACACATTCACCTCGTGGTGCAGACTTTCATTAGACGTTGTACCACTTGGCAGGAGCACCAGCTCTTGTCGATTAATGGAATGGCGATACCTGGTGTCGTTGAGAAGCCACTGGAATTTGGCAGGGCTGGCGACGTTCACGATGAGCCGATGCAGCGAAACCCCTGTAAAGGTGACTTTACGAAGTTCTTCTCGAAAGAATGAAAAGTGTGCTACCAAGGCTTGGAGGAAGTCGACTTCCGTCAGCCAGGGAGTGTCAGGATCCAGTCTCTCCAGTAGCTCTCTCGCTGCATTTTCAGACATATCCGGCTCTGAAAGACAATCTCTCATGGATCTGACATCCTGCGGCGCTGATCCGAGAGTGCCTCCGCTGTAGAACTCACCCCAAGATGCCTGCGTGCGAGAAGAGTGCCGCTTGCGAAACTTGTTCATGATGACAGCAAGCCATCTGCTCCCCGCGGTCCGGCGGTTGTTCATATTTTGATCGTAGACCATAACAATATGCATGGCGTCCAGCGACAGACTCTGCAGATTTGGTAGAACTTCTTTCAAAGTCTGAAACATTTCCGCAGAGGGAGCATCAGATGCAACATGCAACACCTGTGCACGTTGCGTGTTTGTAAAACTGCTTCTCAAAGCATCCGCCAAAATGCTTGACTTCTCAGATCTGATCCCACATAGCGCCAACGTTGCGCCGGTGCGGCCACGGCATGTCATGGTTCGGTACGCAGCCTCGTCCTCTGGGATAATGGCCTGGGAACGAGTCGATGCAGAAGAGTGGAAGTTTGCCTGTCCTATAATCTTCAAGTTGATCTTAAATGTCGCATCCAGGCTGATGTACTTAAATTCTTCAGCTTGTGCACATCGGTCCATGAGCTTTGCCGTATATGCTTCAAGCAGAGGCGACCCCATGAGGTCTTCAAGGACATTCGTCCAGAAGCCATTGTTGCCGCGAGGAATAACCGATGCCAGCTTTCCATCATTCCTCGTGCATCTTTCCAGGAAATATGCCTGTATCTTGTGTAGAGAGGCATTGTGAGCGGCCGCTGCTTGGAGGAATGCATCAGCGAAGTCGTGATCGTAGAACAGGTTACCCACTCTACGCAAACCTGTGGCCTTTGTTACAGATCGAATAGTGACAAACTCCGGCCCGTCTGAGTGAAAAACACAGCGAAGGAATTTATCGATGAAGCTGAGAGTAGACGGCATGTTGCCTTTGACGGTCTTCCGGAGGAGCTCACTGGCCCTAGCCAGAAAGGTTGGTTGCGGTGCTCGATCATGAAGGCGGTCATGATCATAGAGCGCCGCCACGACCCGCAACATCTTGGTCCCAGCCGGACAGAAGCGCTTGGATTCTGTACGTTGGTTTTGTAGGTGCTCCACCAAGCATCGACGCCGCTCGAACCGTCTCCAGGGGCAACACGGACAGACCGTTGGCGGAAACGACTTTCCAGCTTGTGTCCGTACTGCCTGAATTGCAGTCTTCACTTCATCACAGAGCAGCCTGCGTAGCTCTATGCCGACATCTACCTCGCCTTCATTCTGTGGATCCTGTTGATGTGGGATAGAGGCAGGTCGTTTTTTGACTGAAGATGCAGAGGAGGAGCCAGCCAGAAGATCAAGAAACCGGACCTCTGTGTCGTCGAGGTCTGGATCTTCCGAAGCAATAGCAAAACAGAATGTCTGTTTCGTGCCGTGGTATGACTCGAGTAGATCCACTAGCTCTGCCATAGTGCCCTCATAGACCTTGCCTGCGCGCATAGCGAGAATGTTGTTGTTCGGGACAACCTTGACCCCCATACAAAAGGATGACTCTGGCAGCTCGAGATGTAAAAGGAAATCCTTGGTCACGTCTAGTATGCCTGCATGTTGCGGGAGTAGGTACAGATCCCCACAGCCGTGCCAGTCCGAATACTGTCGGACACAATGTCTGTCGGCCTTTGCGTTCGACGGTGATTCCTTTCGCAGACGCACGATGACCTGCTTTATGTCCGCCCCGAGGAAGGTCATCGCAGCTGGAATGGAGTTCGACACGGCAGTCAAGAGTTCATGGTAACCTCCCAAACCTGCACCAACTTCACTCTCTTTAAGCTTGTTGGACAGGTACATGTCAAAGGAAGGCAGCGTCTTGTCCTTGATCACCACATCGAAAGGAGTCTTTCGCCCTATTGCTTCCTGCAGGACTGTGATCATGCTCTTTCCTGCTGCCATCTCGACTGACTTCATCATGGAAGTGCTAATCAGAAGACCATCAAAATGACAGGACATGTGACCGTCGAAGCCATGTTTCTGGACCTCTTCGACCATGACCTGTAGAATATGATCTTCCGCCGGAGTCCACCAAGCCGCGAATATGCTAGCTTCCGGCCAGTTATTCTTGGAGTGACGTCGTAGTTGAGTGTATTCTGCTGGCATCTGGGAACATGCTAACCAGCGCAACTGTCGGCTTTCACTCGACAGAGCTTTCAGGAAAGCCATGCCCTGCTTGTTCAACTTGTCGAACTTGTCAGGCGAGGCTCCGTTAGCCACCTCCATAAGAATTTGCTTACCCTGAGCATCATTGCACTTCAGGTTAGTAGAGCACACAGTCGCTCTGTCCTTTGCGATAGCACGCCACGAGGGTATCTCAAAGTCTGCGGGCTTGACCAAGTCAAATAACTGAACCACAATAGTGAACATAGAAGCCATCACGTCGTAATCTGTAGTATCCGGACAGCAAATGGACCGTGTCAGACGACATAAGTTCTGAGCTCCAACGTTCGATACGAAACGGCGACATCGAAGATCCATAGGGTAGAAGTACGACTGCTGTACAGTCACATTCCGGTCGTTCGCATCGGGTAAGTCTGGCTTTGCATCCTGGATCTCCCGGTACAGCGCGCGTTCCTTGCTCATCATATCCTCGAGTGATTGTGGGAGTTTGGCATCATCGACGCCCGCATTCGTGCTTCTTTTGGGAGCACCCTTCTTTCTGGAAGGACCTTGTATTCTTTTTCTGTAGAGCTCAGCCAATGTCTTCAAGTTCAGGCTTCTCGAAGAGGTCGGTGCCAGACGAGAACAGACATTCTCGACATTGTATTCTTCCGTGAAGATGAGGTTTTCGTCGTGCTTCAGAGGGACAACATCACCAAGTGCCTCTTCACACGGGTAAGTTGGAAGGAAGATCGTGGTCTGGCCAACCTTTGGCAACGTACTCGGGGCTGAAATCAGCTTGCCTTCCGCGGTCAGCTTCTCAATGACCTTCTGCGCCTCTTGCTTGTTGAAATTGAACGCGAACTTGGACTTGGCACTCTTCAACTGGTGCACTGTGAACCAGTCTTTGCGCTCATCACAAAGCCACTGACGGATCTGTTGAATA